CTTTACAAGGAAAAAAGTTATAACTTTAAGAAAGCAGTCGCAGAAAAATCCAAATATGTCCCGAATATTCCGGTGTTCTGAGTGGGCTAAAGATTAAAGCGAAATCTTCTATGTGAAACCTATGTATGGATTAGTTTAGTATCCAGGGTGTGTCTCTAAGATAACAAGAATAAATCTGTTATAAAGAATCTTGAATGAGATAAACCGAACCCGAGGCCTCGACGGAGTTTATGGGAGGTTTCCCAACCTCTGCAGTGAAAAGATTTGACAAGAAATTCGTCCTGTTATGGTTCATTGATTTCATTACAAAGTTTTAGAATTGAATTCTAACCGATTCTAAAATCTATTTCTAAACCAATCTAAGTAAATAAACAGAGTTTTTAGCGACATAGAAAATTAATCGTTTTTTATTAAGCAATGCATAATTATATAAAATAGTAATATCTCACTGCTTGCTTGTTTTTGTCTAGTCATAAGTATGAACCCTTTGACCGGTTTGCCTCAAATTTGAATTGTGGATTCGTGAGAACCTCTGGAATGTTCTCAGTCTGGTTCACATATTCTAAGTTGAATGTTTTAAGGAGAACTCCAGGTATAGCTGGGTTTCCGAGCTAGTATTGTATAATATCAATTACTTAAATACTACTCGGTTTTATACAATGATTACCCCGGTATAACATTATATACAAGGTTGAGCAAATATAATCCTATATTTGTATTCCAACCTGGTAGAATTAGTATCGGTAAGGTTAAGATTAAAGGTATGACTATGTGCAGCGCCTTCCCATGAAGTGTGCATATTTATCTGTGCATTTATTTCGTTTTTCGAACTGTTAACAGTTTTATCAGTCCAGTTCAAGTTTTATGCATGGATATTTTTTATCAGAACTAACATGCATTATCTTCCTCAATTCTTCTCCATACCTTCCTTATTTACCCCCTCTTTTCTCTTACCTTCCTCATTTACTCTCTTCTTCTCCATACCTTCCTTATTTACCCTCTCTTTTCCCTTACCTTCCTCATTTGCTCTCTTCTTCTCCATACCTTCTTTATTTACCCTCTCTTTTCCCTTACCTTCCTCATTTGCTCTCTTCTTCTCCATACCTTCCTTATTTACCCTCTCTTCTTTCCATAAATTCTATCAATACCTTATCATTCATTTTAATCCTTTTCAATCCCTCCCAAAGTATTCCCATCCAACCGTCCCCTCCCCTCTTGAATCCTAGAGTTGTAAGATGCAGTAATACTCTGGAGGATTGCAAACAATAGGGATTAGAGAAGCAACTATCTTCTATACAATCTTATATTATCATTAAGTTGTAAACTTGCATACAATGCATAAACTGCACATATTGCATTCGCTGCACACTGCACAGGAAGCAGTTCCAAGTGTACAGTGTACAAGGAACAAGACTATCTGTACACCAAATGGTACAGCTGTTTAACATACGCACGTACTTTAATATTTTAGAGTAGCAATCTCTGTTCGTCTTTCCGATCATAACTCATGAACCCCTTGACCGATTTGCTTTAAATTTTGGTTGGGGTACTCAGTAGAACCATTAATATGTTGTAATTTTGGTTTCAATTTTTAAGTTCAGTGAGTTTACTTTTATAGAGTAAAGAGGGCCTTTTTGTGCAATAAAAATAAACACAAAGCACACAAGGAAAAAAACATGAAACATAATAAAGTCTGTCAACTAGAAACCGATAACCATGATATTGCATGACAATTCTAGTTTCTAGCTTTAAATCTGCCAAATCTTGAGATAGATGTAAATGAGAAATGTATAGATTGTCCGCTAATGGGCCTATGGACAGTTGGGATTAAGAGAGGGAGGGAGGGGGAGGGGGACGGCTACGAGGAGGGGTAGGTACTAGGTAGCAAGCTCCTAAATACCGCGTCCATGGGGCGGGTAGTCAAAATACAAATTAGTTTTATCTAGGACAGATTTTGATAAAAATGTACCCGGAGGGGGATATTTAAATTAGGTGGGAGGGATTGCAAATAAAGAGAAGAGGTGGGGGGGGGGGACTTTTGACGAGAAAGAATTAACAAAGATAAAATCGACAAAATAAGAAAATATTATTACAAGTAGTAAACTGTGAGTAGAGTGCAAAACTACGGAAAAATTTCTAATTTCTCCAAGCTGTATTTAGGCTAAAATGTTAACCTAATTTAATTAAACTCGGTTTAACTTTAATAAAACAATGATTTACTCCATACTATCATTAAACAGTCAATCAATCAATCAATCCACCAGGTTTTATAAATAAATATTAATACTTTTCCTAATATGATAATAAGAATAAGCGAGGCTGTAATTATTCCTTTTTTGTTGAATTATTTACACTCGAGAATGTTTTTGCTGCTTCTTTGTGTCGTAATAAAACTGTTCAGGTTCAATATTCTTACACGCTTCTTATCAGGGATAGGGCGTGAGCTAGGACTGATATCCAGTCTATCCACCTACCTAGATATATATATATATATATCCAGTGTATCCACCTACCTAGATATATATATATCCAGTCTATCCACCTACCTAGATATATATATATATATATATATATATATATATATATCCAGTCTATCCACCTACCTAGATATATATATATATCCAGTCTATTCACCTACCTAGATATATATATATATAGTCTATCCACCTACCTAGAAATATATATATCATCAACCTACCTAGATATATATATATCCAGTCTATCCACCTACCTAGAAATCTATATTAAGTCTATCCACCTACCTAGATATATTTCTTGATATTTTTTATTTCTATGATCTGAGAGTTTCTTAAAAACATTTATTCCTGTTTCGAGGATTTTTGATAATGAAGACGACATTTTCATACTTTCCAGGAATGTTCAGAAATCCAGCGCCAGCCGTGAAAACAAGTTGTAAGCTAAATATTTTTTTTTTTTTAATCTAAAATATTTTTAATCGTTATCATTTGTGTGGAATTTTTTACGATCCGAGTTAAATGTTGCAACTTTTTGAATTTGTATGGACGCTACGTTCTTCAGTACGAGTCGTTTTTTCTCCTTATAGACGCAACAGATAGAAGTAAGATTTGTAGCGATCACCATCGATAATTTTCCGACGTAAGCCTATGTCCCCTTTTATTTTTCGCGAACACTCCCTTTAAGTCTACCTCCAAAACCTAGATATTCAAACTTACATTAAACCTATTTAATAAATTCATGTAAACGATGATTATTAAAAGGTCAATTATCAAGATAATGAATTGAGCAAAGGTCTTACTTAATCATGTAGTTTCTAGAATTTATTTACTCGTCAAATTATATAATTGTTGTATCCGAATTAATTAATTAAACATTAATGGTGATTAATCAAGTTAATTATGAAATTACAACTGAAAGACTGCTCTGTTCAAACCTTATTATTATTAATCACATTGCGTGATCGCCATTGTTTAAATTGAAATAATTCAGATATTTTAATTTAGAAGATTTCAGCCTGTTTCAAGGGGTGGGGGCGGTAGACTAAAATCAGAGAAACTTTCAGAGATATAGTCCAGTTAGGCAATAAAACGTTTAATATAAGAAAGAATGTGTAAATCAAGTTTTGGAAAAGTAACATTTTTTTAGCAAAGATAAGTTAAAAACTAGTTTTTTTTAAAAGAAATTTCCATGAAAGAAAGTTAGATCCTGTTCAATACGTGGAGATCAACGACAGTTAAATAGAGCAATTAGATTAATTGTCAGGTAAGAATTTTAGAGATTGAGCTTTAAGGAAGATTAGTTCAAGTAAGATCTTTGGAGATTGTGTCAAGTTAAAAAGATCAATTAAGTTAGGGGCTAAATAAGGGTTTAGGAGATTGAGTCCGCTTAAGTTAAGTCCAAAGGTTGCCTAACTTATTAGTTAATGTTATATATATTCATGGTTTAAAAAATATTAAGTCCATTTGGTTGGTATTAGATCTTGTGTGTATACATAGGTTGGAGTCTGATTTCAGTCGATAATGAAGGAAAATATGAGATTGTATCTAAGTTTCCCACATCGTTGATGGATTTGAGTAGTTTCCAGTTTCAACTTTGCATGCATCCACGTGTAAAGATGTAAAGATGTAAATAGTACACTGTACACTGTACACTGTACACAGTACTGTACACTGTACACTGTACACTGTACACTGTACACTGTACACTGTACACTGTACACTGTACACTGTACACTGTAAACTGTAAACTGTACACTGTAAACTGTACACTGTACACTGTACAATGAATAATGTACAATGCAAAATGTACCTGTACAAAAGGTTAACACATCTCAAGAATCTAATAAAAGTTTAATTTTTGACTTAACTTCGGCGCCTCCTAATGATCAAAGGCTTAAGATTATAATATTTAATGTATAAATGTATCAGGTTTGAGTTCAGTTCTCACAGTAGGGGATCCGAGAATAGGAACCTGGGGGAGGAGGTCCCCCCCTCCTATCCCATCCCATAATTAACAATCTTTGCGCTTTTAAAATTCCCCTCCCGGCTTCCCTGTTGAGAATACAAGGTTGGAAAACAAAATTAAAGTCTTATAAATTGACAGGAATTAGGGTGGGTGCTTTACATGCTGCTAGAGAAAGTTTGGAGTATATTCTTGTGTTCAAATCTGAACCCGAAGTAAGGAATTTCCAGTGTGTCCACTAAGAAGTGTATATGTATTGTATACACTGTATAACAAGATCTAATCAAAGGATAATATATTATTTACTTTAAAATACATATTCTTTACTACATCTCCACATTATCAATACATATATCATGATAACGATATATATATATATATATACATAATTATGTATGTACGATGATTTTTCGACTTAAAAGAATCAATAGTTTTCATAGATATTTAGTAACCAGGCATAAAACTTAAAAGATAAAATAGAATATTCGATATTTTTTTATTTGAAGTTAAAGATTAAAGTAAAAAAAAACTTATTTGAAAGATTAAGAGCTAAACCCTACCTTAAGTTTTTTATTATTGTTCTGCTGGAGGGATGGGTTAGAAGGAGGAGTAGAGTTGGTTTGATTACTCCCTGAACCCGTCCCACTTCTCCAGGTCATATCATTGAGTTGCACAGCCGTTGATTCATGTTTTATCTGCGGGGATGGCGGAGAACTATCTCCGGATGGCGGACAACTGTCTCCGGAGTAGGAGGGATTACTGCCTCCGACGGAAGATCCGCTACCGGAGTACGATCCACTATTTGAAGGGGGCCCACTTCCTACAATAGAGGAGCGCCCACTTCCACTGAATGACTGGGATCCACTTTCCACTGACGTTTTCACATTTATACTATTTACATATAACGGTCCATTCCCACTATTCTGGTGAGGACCACTTAAACTGGTCGGTAGTGGACCAGTCCCTTTAAAGGGCGGTCCACTGTTCCCAATGGAGGGAGGTCCATTTCCAGATTTCCCTCCAGGGTCAGAATCAAAATTTCCGTTGAAAGCCGGGCTCTTTGAGCCGCCTTGAGGCTTCACTATCTCTTGGCGACCGGATTTGGTCCGTTTTATTTTTAATTTCAGACTTTTGTCGTTATCATCCATTGGACTGGATGGGGGTCGGGTAGAGTTGTGGTTTACAGGAAGAGTAGGACGGATCCCACTCTGGGTTCTAGGAGGACTGTTCTCCCTGCTCCCCATCTCCGAGTTCCGAATATCTTCGTCTAAGTCCAGGATAAGTTTTCCAACATCAACCTGAAACAATATTTAATATAAATCCTGGCTGAGAGATGTGTGTGGTCGAGAAAGCTTTCAATTCAAACCTCTTTTCAATCTAATTAATAGATGTAAAAATAAAACTAATATCAAAATCATATTGTAAATTCATTAGAAATACAAATAATGATTAATTTAAAGATAAAATATCCCGCTGTATCATTGATTTAAAAGACCGGATACCCCCCCCCCCCCTCAGCTCTGGGTGGAGAGAAAGTCTTGTAGTTTGCACTATATACACTGGTAAAGATTTAGTTGATACAACTACTGTCTGTATAATTTGAATGGGAGAGAGGTTATATTACACACAGTTTAGGGTTACTCCCAAACCCTGTTAAATCCGCCAAACCCCTTAATAACCTCAAACCCACATAAAACCTCTGGACCCTATAAAACGTGCAAATCAAGACATTTTAAAAAATCCAAAACATTAAAAAACAAATCCATAATCTTCTAAAAAATCCCCCCCCCCCCCTGCAAACCCTAGACAGAAATACAAGTACCCTTGACATATTGAAATATTAATCTATGAGTGAGTATGCCGTTAAATGCACAATATATGAGATTACTTGAAAGGATGGAGGGATGGAATTATCTATGAATGAATAAGGTCAAGAATTAAGTAGCATCAAAAATTGCATCTTTCGGTTCAATTTTCCGCAAACATTAAGATAAACTTTACTTTGATGTCTATATTAGACCAAGAGGAAATAACTATTTTATTTATTTATTCAAAGCCTAGATGTATCTTTTTTTTTATAACAAATTTTATAATCATAAAAATGTCTATGAGATGAATTTTAAAGAAGCCATTTACAAGTGCACAAGATTAATTTCCTGGTAGAACTCACATTTATAATGCACAAGGGATATTTTAAAAACTTTTTTCTTTTTTTTTAGGGGGGGGGTGGTAGTGCTGTTAAGGTTTGAGGTACAGGAAGGTGGAAGAAGGTACTTGAAGGTACGGAAAAGTACAGGAAGGTACAGGAAGGTACAGGAATGTACAGGAATGTACAGGAAGGTACAGAAAGGTACGGAAAAGTACAGGAAGGTACAGGAAAGTACGGGAAGATACAAGAAGGTACAGGAATGTACAGAAAGGTACAGCAAGGTAAAGGAAGGAACAGGAAGGTACAGGAAGGTACAGGAAGGTACAGGAAGGTACAGGAAGGTACAGGAAGGTACAGTAAGGTACAGGAAAGTACAGAAAAGTAAGAAAAGTACATGATGTACAAAAAGGTACAATGAGGTCCATGTAAAAGTTCTGGTTTCCAAATGATAACTTGATTTTGATTAAATTGTGTAGAATACTGGGTTTAAGACCCTGGTCAGGTTTGGTTAGTTCCGGGGGGTCCTAAACCTAAACCTTACCTAATCATCTACAAACGCACATACAAACTACACAGACTATAACATCGCACGGATCACCCCAGCTACAAGAAACATGATTTCCACAGTCCTTTAATCTTGTTCTTCAATAAAACTTTTTCTTTATCTTTTATCGATCGTACTTCCCTTCCCAACATTTTTTAACCCGACAACCCTTACCCTACCAACCGATAAGCTTGCCTCTAAACTGTAACCTAATATTCTAATAACCAATAAAGTGTGTTTTAAATCAAATATAAAATAAACTGTTGAAAATATTTAACAAAATGTTGAAATACAAAACTTGGAATTCAAATTTTCCTGAAAATCTGCTGAATGAACACATTCATAATAAATGTCATATTTAAATTAAAATTCAATTGACGAAAAATGTTCTCAGAGACGTTCTCTAATTATTTTCTGCGCAGTCAAAATAAAAATGTGTGCATTTATTTGTGCAAAAAGTATCATGAGGTGCTTTAGGTTTAACCTTAACACTAACAAAACTTATTTGTAGCACTGGATATAAAGGTTTTAATTGTTACGTTTTTAAGAAGTACTAACATTTTTATATACAAATGTATATATTTGTATATATTATATATGTATATAAATATTTCCCGAATACTCGAAGTTCTCTAGGTACTATAATCTTAATAAATAGGGGGTAGGGGGTTGAGGGTATACCGCTGGGAGGGGTGGACAGAAGATAAATTTGTAATGTATGAATATAGCTGGAAGGCTTGATATGTATCGTGGTTCGTCGAAAAACTGAAATAACTATGTTTAGTAAAAGCCATAGAATATTATATATACACTTAAAATATAACGTAAATAAATAACGTATGGAATAGAGAAAAGTAAGGCCCATATATCTGTGGAATAAGATGACGATTATCAAGACTTAAGTACAATGTACAAAGATCAATTTCACTGAATTAGTTTATTCTCAAGATACTGGTAGAACTATTTGCTTTATAACAACATCAAATACACAAAAGATTGCTTAAATATCGTCTTCCTTTACAACAGTTTTATGAGTCTCACTGTATGTATAAATAGAAGTAGAATTAAAAACAGGGATCAAGGAAAAGGATGGATTGCAGAATGTAGAAGGGAGGGGATATATTGGCTTGTAAGGTTTCGTAATATATTCCCCAATACAAAAGTGTTCAGAGCTGGAAACTTTAGAATGGTGGATATCGAGATCAATGTTTGATCTGGCTTGACTAAACCCGATATTAGGATAATACGCATTCGATATCCAAGAAAGAAGTTTTTAAATTCAACCAATCAGCGTGTCATGTTAATATGCGCTCTTTAACTATTGAAAACCCAGTTTTTTTGCGCATTAGATAGTGTCATATCAGTTGAACTAAAAGTTGATTGAACGAACGTAAGTTTTGGATTAATGTTTATTAAGAATAACGTTCAAAACGACTTTAGTCCTCAAATGTGATAAAATATGTTTTTTATTAAGTTAAAATTAACGTGACTAAGTTTTTATTTGTTTAAATGCTCTAAAAGCCCGCTGCTAAACAGCTGACTTTAGTTCAATAGGATATTAGTCCAATCGATAAAGCATCCTGTCTGCAATTCTTATCAAAAGTAACTTTTATACAGAAGGGGGGGTATCCCAAAAGGGAGAATTAAGAAGAAAATGAAAAGTGTGTCCATTGGATACTCAGATTAAGTAATCGGGATTAAGGGTATCTCATTCTAAAGAGTTATAATATTCTTTAAGTAAAGATTATCTTTTAAGCAAATAATTAAACATCACCAAGAGGAAAGGAAGGCGCACGTGAATAAAAAAATACTAATCAGTTTTACAAATTATCAAAATTAATATTCTGAAATTAAATCCAGTAACATAATATTACACGCGTATATAGATAAAAGACCCCTTAAACTTGACTGAAGAGTCACAAACACACAACATTTGGTTAAAAAAACAGTTGACACGGTTTTCATAGATTTCAAGAATCCACAACCTCCATAAGTTTCTCTTTGTTGATTTATCTAGAAAAGGAGGAGGACGGGGGGATGAAGGAGGGGGGGGGGAAGAAGGAGGGGGTTATGTTGGAAAGAAGGTGGGGGAGAGCAGATATTCAATATAAAGCAAGAACAGTTTCTCCCTTAGTTGTGCTAAAATACTAGGATACAAAAATATTCAGAACTACACACTAACTGGAACTGGAAATAGAAAAAAGTTTTAAGAATGTAAGAACAAAATTTAGGGAAAAAATAAGAAACTGGGGAAAAACTAGGGAAATAAAAGAAGGAGGAAAGAAAGCAGTTTTTTTAAAAACGGTAGAAAAGAAGGTTGGGATGAGTAAAAACGGTATAAAAATGGGATGAATAAAAACGTAGGAAAGGAAGGCTGGGATGAATAAAAATGGTGGAAAAGAAGGTTGGGATGAGGAAAACGGCTGAAAAGATTGGGATGAGGAAAACGACTGAAAAGAAGGTTGGGATGAGGAAAACGACTGAAAAGAAGGTTGGGACGAGGAAAACGGAAGAAAAGAAGGTTGGGATGAGGAAAACGGAAGAAAAGAAGGTTAGGAATAGGTAAAAGATGTAAGGTAGATAGAAGGTTGAAGAAACTAAATTAAAGTTAGGAAGGAATGAATAGTTTAAATGTGAGTATAGAACGTATTAAATCTCAGGAATGGTTTTGTATCAGGTCTCAGGTCTCACCACACAAAGGGTTCAGGTTTACAGGACACCGAGAACCATAAACATCTCCAGAACCTTCCAACAATTTCACATCGTCACCGACGTGTTATAAAGTTTATACATTACAACTATTTTCAATTATACAATATGAATTATATATATATATATGTATATATTGTATAACTAGTCTAATTTAACTTGATGGAACTCCTATATCTGTATATATATCCACGCATCAATCGTATTCCTTCCAATCTTCATACAACTTCTTGCCATCAATCTAAATGTATTCTATTTATTTTCCTATCAGGTTTATATCCTTCTATATCTTGATTAAGACCTGATAGAATTTATAAACCTAATATGTTTATAATTAAGCTATTGGGCGGCCTTAACTCAGGGCTGAATATACTTCGCTAAAATGTAAATTTCAAAAATATTTTTCAGATGATTCTAATTTTAGAACGATTCCGAATTAGATGTTTTTATAATGGCCACTTCTACACATAACCTTGGAACGGTCCTGTACCTGATAGAAATATTTGGAACGGTCCTGAATCTTATATAAATATCTGGAACGGTCCTGAACCTGATATAAATATCTGGAACGGTCCCTATGTCAAGGAGATATAAATCAGGAAGACAAAGCTTTAATTTGAGAGTCATCCATCTTATTGTTTCTGGCTACAGAGACTACACAAGTATAATCAGAGGCAGGGGGGAGGGGGAGTGTGAGGCAGGGGGGGGAGGGGGAGTGTGAGACATAACAAACTATTAAGTATTAAAGAATCTCTACACTTGACTTGTGTATATCTCTAATTTTAAAGTCCCTACATCTTTGGAACCTGACGTTTATGAAAACCTTTGATATTTTAACTTTGATCTACAGAAATTTATAATTATAAATCTCAAAGGTCTAAATCACCAGGATACAG